CTGTGAAAGTAGCTTTTCAATCCGGCTGATTGTGGACAGCTTCATTTGCTGGTAGTCCCACTCGGCGTCTGAGAGTGGCAATGTATTCTTCTCTTCCACCTCAAGCTGATGCTTCACTGCATGCCCGCTTGCTTGGATATCATGCGTCCCGTTTCCAGACATCTGCTTCTGTCTGGCCAGCCTCGAACGTGAGCGCCAAGACTCGGAGTCAATGTCTTCTGCGGTTCGCCGGTTGAGATAGTCAAACAAGAGCTTTTCAACTTCGTTCAGGCTATCACGAAAGCTCATCGAATCCTGCGGCCCCTCGTTTCTGGGTCCGAGTTCGTTGGATTTGTCGAGTTCTTTTAGCCTCTCTCTCTTCCCCGGACCAGCGTTCGCACTGTCTGTTCCATTGTCTTTAATGGCAAGCAACATCTCTCGCACAAGCCCTGGCTTCTCTGCCTCACCAGGTCGATCCTCTTTGGCGTTGGGCCTCTCTAAATTCACTGAGTCCTGCTCTGAGTCGGTTCGTTGTGAATTATCGCTCTTGGCAGACGAACTTCGGTTTAGCGCACCGTTTGTTGGGATATCCACAATTTGTGGACGAGAAGACCAGACCTCCTTTATTCCCGGCCGTCTGGTGTTAGAATGTACTCCGGTGAACCCAAATGTAGCTGATTGAGAAGGGTTGAGGGATCTTGCAACATTTACGGACTTGTTGATTATCATGGAAGCAACTTCAGAGTGAAAGGATAAAAGTTTACCAGGAAGATGCGTTATCAAATTGTTGAAATTAGGCTTAGCACAGGTTTATCGAGGTCGCATGACTGGGAACCGAGAACTTCTTCACACATTACAACAGCCATCAAGATTTCAGATGAAGCCACATTACGAATTCCTTCCATTTTACTTTTCCTAAGAAATGGAAAGTCATGTCATCTCATGTCATATATATATATAATTGTGATAACTGTTGTCATGTGCGAAGAGGTCCTCGGTTCACAGTCATGGGACCCCGATGAACCTGGGCTAAGCTTTCGTCTGTACCGCCTTGACAGACATCATCAGAGCAAGAATCCGTACTTTACGAAATAGAGCAAAAATATACTAAATAC